ATGCAACAGCAGCAGTATGCAAAATGGTTGCATGACCTTCAGCTAGATAGTATGAGATGGCTGTAGTACATGGAAAAGAAATGGTTGTCCCAAGTGAAGACTTTGTTGTTAAATCCCTTCTGTTCTTTGGGTTCCTATAATATGATAAGCATAAATCCAGAACAAGATGTCCAGTATCCAGCTGTCTATCCACTAGATGCCCATTATCCTGCGGCCCTCTTCCTGATGCCACCCAAACTTGCATAAGAAGGTTGAGGAATACAGCAGAAAACTGGCTCTGTTCCATGACTCACAATTGATTTATTCAGTCAATTTATATGCTGCTTATATATAAACAATATCTCGGTGCAGTTACAAATCATTGTCTCTACTCTCCAATCACCTCCTCCCCACCACCACTATTTTGCACCTGATTGTTGCTGGTAGACCTCAGGCTTCTAGTTTAAAAAAAAAAAAAAAACAAGCAAGGTCCCAGCATCCAGAGGTCTGCCCACAGGATTTGAAATTATCTCTTGAACTTTGCTGAGCTGCCTTATGGAACCTTTCTCATTTAGGGTATTATCCTAAACCCACGTGACTAATATATTCCATTCAACTCAGTGGGACTTTGTTCTCAGCATCACAAATCTAGGTACTGCTTGGATTGTGGTACATTCTTTGCTATTATATTCAAAATTCACTCTAATACGGAAGTCTTATGCATGTTTACTCCAATGAATGCCTTACTCTTTTCAATGGGGATGATTTCGAGATCTTCTGTAGGAATGCAGCTTAAACGTGTTAAGAGCTCAAATGTGAAAAAGAGGTTTTCATATTATGTTTTCAATGTGCAATCCTCATACCAAACATTCTGTAAGATGAATGGCTCCTTGCCAAAACAGACATCTTAGAGAAGCCATCAGCCAAAATGCACAATGTAAAAATATGCACCAACTATGCTTGAAATTCTCACTGGCATAAATGTGCATGTGTTTTGGGTTTTATCCTTGAAAGCAAAATCGAAAAACAACTTTTAACCATCAGTTTGCTCATCTGAGTGAAGGATCAGCAAACCTTCTTTTTAAAACAAATGGAAGACACACTATCCCTTCCTAAGGGTAAAATCCTATGGTGATATCAAAGCCCCCCAACATGTAGACTCTGGGTCACCCTAGAGGGAGGAGAGGCATGGGTGATCTTCCTCATTTCCTCCTCCTCCTCCTCCTCCCATGCATTTCTTGCTAGATAAACTTTTTTGTCCACTCAGCATGAGTGTTTTGGAGGAGGAGAGAAGGAAGTGTTAGGGGTGCTCGTACCCTCACCTCTCCTGCCTTCTCTCCTTCTTTCACACCTCCCTGAGGTCACTTTCCAACACTGGGGAACAGCTAGTGCAGGTCTTGCCTTGTTGGCTTCAAAGGGGTGGAAGAGAAGGACTAGAGCACCAATTACTAGTCCTGAGGTCTAGCAACCTGTCTAGCCTGGTATGGAAATCCAACGTATCCTATAGCACTTACTATCCAAGTGTCACAGGACTGCTCCCTAAAACAGGTAAAGTTGCATGAAAAGGATCTGTCAGTTGCTAAGCAACTGTTTAATTTCTTGCATTAGACTGAAAAGGAGATAAGGGACTATCTACTCTACTTTTTGTATACGTAGAAGGATGGCATGTGGAGTAGAATGGAATAAGGACACTTAAGCTCCCTGGAGTTATATTAATCTGAAAATACAGGACATTACAGAAGAAAAGGGCCTCCTCATAATAATCAGTATCTAGTATTCCAGGGTTGTATTGCAACACAGCATAGGAATGTCCATTCTTCAGCTCTTGTCCATCTTAAGTGTTCATCCTGGAGATACGAAGGGAATGTTTCATGTAAAGATGGGCATGATAAAGGACCAAAGTGGCAGGGACCTAACAGAGGCAGAAGAGATTAAGAAGAGGTGGCAAGATTACACAGAGGAACTATACAAGAAAGAGCTCAATGTCCCTGATAACCTCGATGGGGTGGGTGGTCACTGACCTCGAGCCAGACATTCTGGAATGTGAAGTCAAGTGGGCCTCAGAAACTCTGAGCAACAACCAAGCTAGTGGAGGAGACAGTATTCCAGCTGAGCTATTCAAAATCCTAAAAGATGATGCAGTAAAAGCGCTACACTCAATATGCCAGCAAATCTGGAAAACTCAACAGTGGCCACAGGATTGGAAAAGGTCAGTTTACATTCCAATCCCAAAGAAGGGCAATGCCAGAGAATGTTCAAACTACGGCACCATTGCACTCATTTCACATGCTAGCAAAGTTATGCTCAGAATCCTACAAGCTAGGCTCCAGCAGTATGTGAACCAAGAACTACCAGAAGTACAGGCAGGATTTCGAAGAGGCAGAAGAACTAGAAATCAAATTGCCAACATACACTGGATCACAGAAAAACCTAGGGAGTTCCAGAAAAGCATCTACTTCTGCTATGCTAAAGCATTTGATTGTGTGGATCACAACAAGTTGTAGCAAGTTCTTAAAGAGATGGGAGTCCCATACTACCTTATTTCTCTCTTGAGGAACCTGTATGCGGGTCAAGAAGCAACAGTGAGAACTGGACATGGAACCACTGATTGATTCAAAATTGGGAATGGAGTACAGTAAGACTGTATATTGTTGCCCTGCCTATTTAACTTATATGCAGAGCACACCATGTGAAAGGTGGGCTAGATGAATCACCAGTTGGAATTAAGATTGCCAGGAGAAATATCAACAAGCTCAAATATGCAGATGATACCACTCCAATGGCAGAAAGTGAAGAGGAACTAAAGATCCTCTTGATGCAGGTGAAAGAGGAGAGTGCAAAAGTTGGCTTGAAACTCAACATTAAAACTAAGATCATGGCATCCAGTCCTATTACTTCCTGGAAAATAGATGGGGAAGAAATGGGGGCAGTGACAGATTCTATATTCCTGTGTCCAAGATCACCGCAGATGGTGACTGCAGCCAAGAAATTAAAAGATGCTTGCTCCTTGGGAGGAAAGCAATTGCAAATCTAGACAGCATACTAAAAAGCAGAGACATCACCCTGCCAACAAAAGTGCATATAGTCAAGGCTACGGTCTTCCCACTTGTAATGTATGGTTGTGAAAGTTGGATCATAAGGAAGGCTGAGAGGCAAAGAATTGAGGCCTTTGAATTATGGTGCTGGAGAAGACTTCTGCAAGTCCCTTGGACTGCAAGAAGATCAACCCAGTCAGAGGATATCAACCCTGACTTCTCTTTAGAAGGTTAGATACTGAAGATGAAACTCAAATACTTTGGCCACCTAATGAGAAAGAAGGACTCACTGGAGAAGAGCCTAATGCTGGGAACAATTGATGGCAAAAGAAGGAGATGGCAGAGAATGAGGTGGCTAGATGGAGTCACTGAAGCAGTCGGTGTGAGCTTAAGTGGACTCCGGGGGATGGTGGAGGACAGGAAGGCCTGGAGGAATGTTGTCCATGGGGTCGCGATGGGACGGATGTGACTTCACTACGAACGTAAGTGTGATCTTAACTGGAAGCGAGTTAGTCTTAAGCCATGTAGTCTGAACAAATATTTGGTACAAATACAGCAGAGCTCAGTTTACATGACCATTTCTTATTTTCTCCATGTAAATTATGGCCAAAAAAGGCCACAAAAATTATGGAGAATGTATAGGGCAGAGACTAGTGAGAATTGAAGCTATTTCTAGTTTTCTTGCACCCTGAAAATTCCAGCCCACAAGTTGCATTCACCATGTATGGAATGGAGATTTAGCACTTTTGTGAATACTTGGAGTAGCACTTGTAATCCTGCTAATGTACAGCTTATATACTGCCTGGTTTATTCTTGCGCTTCTAACCTTGCTTGTCCTTCTAACTATAACTAAAGGACAAGACAACTGTAAACCATCCTTTGCCAGGCTGTACATAAAATACATTTTGTTGTGCAGTGGAAACAGCCAAATCAAATTCATAATACAAGTAAAAATAGGAGGAAGAGAATACCATGAACATCAGAGGCACTTTTGGGTAGACAAAAGCCACATTTCAGTGTTATGCCAAACTCTATTTCTTTCAAGAGTTAAAGATTTTCCTTTAGTTAAAAATATGTTTCTAGATCTTGTGGTTGTGTAAGAAAGTCTCAAATCTATAGGCAAAATATACGCAAGTTTCAGACAACACATTTTAAAATGTATTATTATTTTCATATAATTATTTCCAAGTCCATTTTAGGACAGGTGCATTTTTTTCATTTTTGGGGATAACTCCAGAATTATACAGTGAAGAAAAAGGAAAGCATGCCCATTGGTGCTATTCTTGTATTCACCACATGATAGCAAATTATCAATGGTCCATCAGTTTTTGAGATGCTTCTAAAGTGTTTTAGTTATTTCTAAAGCAACCCTCATTTACATGGCATGTCAAAGTCATGATAGCATTCCTTCCTACTTCCTACCACCATAAGAGCCGGAAATGTGAAAGTTAAAAAGTCTTGGTTTCAATCGCACATATCAATCAAAATGGGATTAAGGAAAAGAGTCTGAATTTCAAACCTCCACAATATTATTTTATATTTCCAGATTATGAATTCAGCCATTATTAGTGTTGATTGGAGAAGGATATGGATATTTTTAATTTATCCTTTGTTACTACTGTTGAAAAAGTATTTCAACACTTCAGAACAAGAACAATAAGTTTACCAGTTGAATAAATAAACTATTTTGCTTTTCATTTATATATATATGTATATATATATATATAGACACATATTTTACAAAACCCCATAGCAGTATGGGAAATAAAGATCCTTCTACAAAAAGAAGATGTTAAGTCAATGTACAAAATAAAGCTTTAGAGTTTCAAAATCATATCAGGGCAAGAGAGACATACCAATTAGATGTGCTACCATTCCTTTGCCAGGAAGGGTCAGGTGACAAAATGCTTTGAGAATGTACAGGATCACATTGAATGTTATCCTTCTTCTCTTTCCTGGATATTGCACTTAACAATCCTTGTTTTGTCAGGAAGGATTCAGTAGATCCAACAGAAAAAGAGCCATTGCCGCAGAGACAAAAGCAATTAAAGGCGATGTCGTGGTGCCGTTTCTGGCTGAGCTTTGGAGATGATGCTGGAACGCCAAGTCTGGTGGTGATTGCTGGTCCAGCTGTTCTGAAAACCAAATGGATGGGTTGACTGAGATGTATCCGTTTGTCACCCTGATGTGGGAAGGCATGGTTGTTGTGCTAGAAGGAAACACACAAGAGCAACATAAGCTTTCGTGATTCATAAGGGCTAGGAGAAAGTGTCCATTTGTGTCAGGGCTTTGCTGGTGAATTGGGGCAAACAGGGTCTAAATTCAGGGGAGAGAAGCTCACCATCAGTTTGAGAGGAAGTCAAAAACTTTCCATGCCACAGTGGTTCTTCACAGTTGTCATAGGATAAGGTGGCCTAATGCAAAGAATTCTACATAGCAAAATGGAAAGTAAACTGACAGTGCAATGGTCCACCTAAAAAATCACACATTCTCTCACACATGAAAGCATGCACAGTTGAGCTGATATCTCCATTTTATCACCTATTACTTACCATCCAGCTTTTCCAACCCACCCCTGCCTCCCTCCTCAAACCTTATCCAACCCTTCCACCTTTAGTCTCTCTCTCTTTGTATATGTTTGTGCTCTCTAAAGCTATTCATTGTCAAGCACTTCATACTTATTTCAGCATAGGGTAAAATATTTTATATTGCATGCAATGTGAATTTTTTTAAACAAAAAACCTTTGTATTATTCTTAAACCTAAACTCACTTGGATGAATATAGAAAGAAGAGACTTTATTTAATATGAAAAGTGTGCTCAGTAGAAATCACATGTCAATGCTTCTTGTAACTGAAAGAATAAAGGAGTGATAAATAGTTAAGGGGAATCATGATTCAGGGTAAATGCTCCATATAATAAACGAGATTTGAATTTGGGGTTTCAGCCATAAAATATTCTGCTTGTGCATTCTATTCATCTTCAAGACAAAAGACATCATTAAAACAAAAACAAAAAAACAAACAAACCCCCAGATGTGGAGCCAATTGTAGCAGATTATTCTCAGTGTGTCTTTTTTTCTTGTTGTCTTATGTCAGAGAATAACTCATCATATTTGCCTTGTGGTGTTGCTGGATAATCTTGAATGACACCAATGATCTGGCATCAAAGGAAATTAATCAAATAACAAAGGCAGTACTATTCCAGATGTGTTAGTCTGAAAAGGGATGCTCCCAATGGTTATTCTGAAATGGCTTCTAAGTTCCTATATATAATGTCAAATTCCTTTTGCAGTAATGGAATATCATGTGCCTGTGTGTGAAGAGGGGCATGTTATGTTAAATGATTATACAAGAGGGAACCCGAAAAAAATCAGGAATTCATTTATAAAAATTGTGTATTTCTGTTTACATGGTCAAACTTCAATCACTTTTGAAGTACTCTCCATTTGATGCAATACACCTATTGAGACATTTTTCCTGCTGCTCAAAACTGGTTTTGAATTCATCAATTTCCATGCCTTTATTACCTCTTTCACATCAGCAAAATGTTTCCTTCTGAAGACTTTTTCATCCAGGGAAACAACAACAACAAAGTCGCACAAGGCAAGATTGGGTGGGGCACAAGGGTCAAGCCGTTTTTGGTCAAAAACTGTTGAACGCTCAGCTGAACAAAATTTTACCACCATATGTTGTTCGTGTAAACAAAATAGGCAAACACCTTGAAAAAGTCTCCAGAAAAACCTTACTGAAGCCGAGCGCAGTCTCTTACAACAACCCAGCTAGTTACGCTGATGCAGGTGGGTTCCTAAAACACTCACCTAGCAGAGGAAGCTGCTACTACAAAGGGTGTGACCTCCAGAAGATAATTCCTGTTTTTGTGGGGGTCTCCCCTCGTATGCACTCCTACAGGAGTAAGTGCATAGGATTATAAACCCACTTCTTACAGAAGGTTCTAGAAGTTTTGTACTGAGTGCAAAAGAATATACAACAGCTCAGTTCAGTACCTACCAGCAAAACCTGGTACACTAGCTACAACCCTATCTTGCCTCAGCTATTTATGCTGCAGTGGTATCCAGTCTAAATGATGGCAATGCACCCTACGTGGGGCTGCCTTTGAAGATGTTTCAGCTGCTGCAGGAGACAGACACCCCAAAACTAGTGAAGGCTGAACAGTCTGCTCAATATTGTGCCAACCACACAATGTAAGTTACATTTACGTATAAAGTTTCAGCAGCCTTCCACTTTTTGCTTCAAGTAACCAGCTGCTGGAATTAATGATGTGTGAGGAATCTGGTTTGGGGGTGCAAATAAATCTGTTGGGTTTTTTCAACCTGGCTGCCCAGACTCTGGCTCACATTCTTTCTGAGTCCAGTTTGCACTGGGTATCCAGGCGGGTGTCTGGCAGGAGGTGAGTCCACGTGTTGTGTTTTAAAGTGAGGCAGCTTGTCCAAACACTGCCTGTGTACCTGCTGTGCAAGCAGAATTCTGCTTCTGTGCATGGACCGTGCTCATGTGTACTGTGGGTGGCAGAGGGAAGGTGCATTCAGCACTGTCCACAGGTGGTGTGTATCATACTTGGAGAATTGGCATCAGGGACCAAGCAGGAGAATATTTCAGGGCAAAGAACCAGCTTGCTAGCATTCATGTGCATTTGTGGATTTGATCTTGGCTTGCCTCGCTTCCCAGGCCAGGGCCTAGCACAAAAACAACATCTGGCAAGCACAAGAGAGCCAGATTCTAGGCAGGTCTTCACATCACTAACTGGAACCATGTAAACAGTATTAGCAAAGCTAATGGTCAGTATGTCACTTAAGGTAACCTGACAGTGAATTTCACACTAATTTCTATTCTTTTTCATGTTGTGAGCCGCCCTGAGGCATATAAATGTTTTAATAAATAATAAATAAATAAATATTCTATGAGGCCTTTACATATTGGCAGTATCATTAATGTTCATTCATTCTTACATTGGAGATGCTTTCCCTATTGCTAACTAGTTCTTTTGTCATCATAAATGGTTTGTCTATTATTCTGACATGTTCATTATGGAAGAACAGCTTATTTTTCTTCAAAACCTTTTCCTACTCTTATTTCTAAACTAAACTGAATTGTATATTTGCTTGAAAATTCACTTATTTCTCTTATTCACTTATTCACAGTTTATTTTCAGTTTTATCTTAGGACTGTCATTCCTACCAGGTGCAAGACAGTTGAAAGTATATTTATTCACAGTAATAAGGTATTCAAGAATTCTATCTGTATTGCTCTTCAGCAGACAGCTTGCCTGAAGGAATTACCCGTTTTCAGGCTCAGGTACCCAGATGATTTATTTTAACGTTATAGCTATGATAGAGAGCATCAACACCCATAAAGTTCTTCTGCAATTGTTTCTTTGACAATGACCATTGTCTCAGAATATCTTCTCAGTATGAATGTAATCTAAATGGAGCACAGTAATTATCTCTAGTTCTTCAGTAACAAACTGAATTAAGTGAGGCTCCATAAAACAACACTGTTGACATTAATTTGACCATCATTTGTATCCTATTTAGGATAAATATTTTACTTTATTTCAGATTTTTTAAAACATGGACTAGGCTATCAAGGCTGTAATAGGCATGAGTGATGCTGATAATGCATTGGTGGTTGGCATAAGTCAGAACAATGTTAATGAATGAGAAATGGAGGGACAAAGGAGAAACAGGAAGTGATTTGGGCATAGGACTCCATCAACAATCTGTAAGTTCCATCCTAATTTTCTGTAGGAAGGAAAATATGCTTGAAGAAAAGAAAGTGGAGTTCAGAGTTTGAGCAACCAACACAAGTTGCTTCTAGTAGAAAACTCTCTTTTCTTTTTGCTCATTGTGCTTCTGTAGGCTTATGTATTTCCAGCCCTGCAACTCAAGGTTGTTTCTCTGTTTTCACCACTATTGGTTCAGCTATTAAAACAGACAACTTTGTTCTCGTGTAGTCCAGGCCCCAACCTTTCCAACCTGGTAGTGAGGTCTGCAATGATCACAACATCTCATTTTTGACACCACGTAATCATAAATGTTCAAATGGACATGAGGCAAGAAAGTCTATTGTTACAAAGGACTTCCAGATTTGCTTGTATTGCAAATCTTTTTGAACTTTTTCCCAATGTTCTTTCCCTCTCTCAATTGTATTGTGAAGATGCAGCAGCATCCCTGAAAAAAGCCAATTATTGTAAAGATGTTGTCTACTGAGAAGGAAAAGGAGATGAATTTGTGCTTAGGTTAATTCTCAGACAACTGCAGAGGAGTGAATGCCTTGTAAAATCCAGTAACCTTTGAAGCATGCCCTTGGAGTGATTACTCCATCCCCCATCTAATGATTTAAAGATGTGGGAGTCCTTTCTGATTTGGAAACAACAAGAATTTCATCCTTATTAATACCAGAGACTGTCAGAAAACAATCCTTTCTTTCTTTCTTTCTTTCTTTCTTTCTTTCTTTCTTTCTTTCTTTCTTATTGGTATAACTGTTCAAGGTTACTCATATATAGCTGAAAAGTGACATGGATTCTCATGAAGTGTCTGTGTGGTCCTCAGGCAAAAGAAGACAATATTAACTCTTCCTTTTGCGCTTCTTCCCACTACCTTAGAAATGCTTTGATGCTTTTGTAATATTTTGGGAATGTTCCTTCATAATTCTATTCCATGACTCACAAGCACAGTTGACACAGCCTCCCATTAAGCATCCATCCCATTATTCATCCAAGTCCCTGTGCAGAGACAAGACTTTCTGTGTGTGCTGTTTATTTTGCCAGCCCTTTACAGACACCCAAGGCAGAATAAATTCAATAATAGACACAAAGCTTGGATGTGAATGGTGTGCCATAAATGATCTATGTGCTATTTCTCATCTCATCCAAGCGGTGACATTTCTGGATCATTTAGACAAGTGAAAGCTCCCTCACTTCTGGAATAAGACAGTTATGATACCCAATAGTGGCCAGTACAAAAGGAGTCTAAAATAGATAATTGATTCTCAGCTAAACATGGCTTAAAATTAAAATTAATTAAAATGAGCTCTGATGAATTGGAACTCCTATTACCTGTAGTGTTCTGATCCTTCAAATTCTGTAGCTGGGAGGACCAAAGTTTATGGTCACATCTATGGCAATTGCATGTATCCTGTGATTCCAGTTTAACTGTCACTTGACCAAAATGTGGCATATTCTGATGCAT